ATAACCGACAGTCAACGGTGAGAAAAGCAATAAGGATATTAGTTATTTCGAGTAATAACCTGCCGATATGATTAATTTAATTAAATTGTCTTAGGATAGGATATATTATTTGATTGCCCCGAGCAAACCAATTGGAAATAAAGTCGTAATTCGCGCCGGTCGAAAAGCATTGCTCACAAATTTTGTTAGGAATAAATCCGTACAAGATAAACATGAATTATTATTTGTTTAAACGAAACGGCGGTATTAGGTTGTTACTTGACCAACGAGGTAAAAGGAGGAAATTGATACGCGTTGACGCGCGCGTTAGCCACTTTCACAGCTGCGTTACACGGTGGTTAATTACAAAACGTGTCATTAAGTTATATTCACACTAAAAGTAGCTTGTAAAAATTGATCTTCTTTGAGAATTTTTCCTTTTAAATCGAAAGTTCTTTATTTGATTTTTATCGATTGAGATTAAACTCGATTTAAGCGTTAACAAGTAAGTACGGTAAGGATATTTTCGAAAAGTAGCGCAGTCTTATCGCCTGCGCCGAAATTAACGTCGCCCGTAAAAGTTTCGTCCATAAATCGCAAATTTTTATTATCAGGCCGGCCAGCATAAATATTCAATAAGATGGAGTCCAGCATCCCCTTCACTTATTAACGAGAAAGCTGCAATTATTCGACGCTGTAATTGCGAAGCACTGTATTCTTATGTTCCATATATAGATCGAAATTCACCGCCTCTTCCAAGAAAAGTAGACTTTCAGGCACTGAAAAACAAACGTTTTCGTGTTGAAAGTCCAATTAATGTACCGAAGTGGATATTAAAAATGCTAATTTTAGCCAGAACGGTTTAAGCGGTTTAAGAAATTACAATTTGTTTTATCCGTTACAGTATAAAATAAATATTGAACTACTTTTATTTATAATTTAGCCTCAAATCGCCGAGGTCGCTTGCGGACGAGGTCCTGGATTTGATATATCCACACGCAGTTATGGGAGCTGGGTAAATACCCGGGTATAATATCTATCCGGGTGTTTACCCCGGCCCAGGGTAAATAACCAAACAGTACATTACATTACATAGAATACATATCGGGTAGGCGGACCAACCAACCTTGCACCGCGACCCTAAGGATCTATTGTACCCCGATAGATATCATTATCAACTTTTATGCTACTACGGGCAAGTCCCAAAATATTCCCGGGTTTGACAGTGGCGATGTTGATAAACACCTTAGCATGTCTCATTCCAGGAGAACTGGTCCACAGTAGGCGAAGTCTCTCTTCAGCCCACAGTCCAATCCTATATTTGGCCATCGCAAATGATACACCAACTGCTGGTTCCGGTCCCACAAACGCTTCAGCGCTGCCATCTCGTGCTAGCTTATCTGCCGCTTCATTGCCAGCAACCCCAGAGTGACCCGGGACCCAGATCAGAGAGACTCTGTTATCACAACTCAGTGTGTTTAATGTTCTCTTACAATCATTAACCAGAGCCGACACCGTTTTCTTCACTCCTCTTTCAAGAAGGATTTTAGCACCCATGTCAATAGTAAATACTTCCGCCTGGAATACAGTACAGTACGTACCCAGGCTGTAGGCTTGCTTAATTCGAGGTGTCTGGCAGTATACTCCTGCTCCTACCCCTTCAGGCGTTTTTGATCCTTCTGTGTACAAGCAAATGTCTGCCCGAACCAGAGAATTTTCATTTTCGATCCAGGACTGCCGCTCAGGCAGTACAATCTGGTATCGAGCATTAATCACTGATAGTGATACCGCCAAATCTGACGGCATTGATAGCACAGTATCAGTGCTTATAATGTCTTCCGCAGCCCATTGGTAGGACATGTCGGAACAGTTTTGAGCATATTGCTTAAATCTGTAAATGGTTGTTCTAGCCACTTTCTCTATATGCAAATGCAGAGGAGATAGGCCAAGCAGAACCTCCATTGCTAGAGTTGGCGTTGTGCCTATCGCACCAGAGATTGCCAATCCAGCTACTCGTTGAATTCGTGAAAGTTTACTGATAACTGAAGTCTGTCGGATTTTCCTATACCAGGCTGCTGCTCCGTATATGATCATAGGTCTAACCACAGTCACATAGAGCCATTACAGTCTTTCAGGGGTAAGACCCCAACTTTGTCCACAAAGACTACGACAAGTCCACAAGGATAGTCTAGCTTTGTGCAAAACTCCCTGCAAATGTCCATTCCATGACAGGGTTTTGTCATCCAACTTTCGCTTCCTGGTGAAGGGCACAACAATTGTCTTTTGCGGATTTATTGAGAGGTTCTCTCCCTTACACCAAGCGCAAATGGTATCTAGGGTCACCTGGAGTACTTTAGATATCCTCGGCAAACAGGTTCCTTTGACCATAACGACAATGTCATCAGCATAAGCTTGTATTTCCACACCAACGGCTTCGACTATCGCAATCAGATCGTCAACTAGGAGGGACCAAAGCAGGGGAGATAACACCCCTCCCTGCGGGCAGCCACCTCCCGGCCTGAAGCGTATCGTATCACCGTGGAGTGAAGTAGAAACTATTCTACTATCTAGCATATTGCGGATCCAACCCGCTATAGTTGCTTCCACTCCCCTGTCAACAGCGGCTCTTTCAAGAGATTGTGGTATTGCGTTGTTGAACGCTCCCTCTATATCCAGAAACGCACAAACCAAGATTTCTTTATCCTGCAGCGTCCTGGATACTCTACCAACTAAGCTGTGTAGAGCCAATTCTGCTGATTTTCCCGCTTGATAAGCATACTGGTGGCGACTCAGTGGACCAGATACCAATGGCACCGTACGGATATACCGTTCCAGAACTTTTTCAAGGGTTTTCAGCAGAAATGACGTTAGGCTGATGGGTCGAAAGGCATTAGGAGTAGGGACCGAACGAAACAGTACATACAAAAGTAATACAAGTAAAAATATAACAGATTCGGAAAAAAATTTAGAGGAAGATGATGAAATAATTGTCAACGATGGAAGAAGCACGCATTGATTGAAAGCCCTTCTTTTGAAATATACAGGAATATTGCTCGTGAAGATGTCTCTAAGTTTCCTGTAGGCTGTCCATGCGCTTGTTTGATTATCTCTCGATACACGAGCCTCATGGCCAAGATATTCATTACTATCAACCCTGTCATTCTCATTATCCCCCAATATTCATGTTAGAGCTGGGAACAAGATTTGTCATAAATTTTGATTTCTCCACGTTGTTTTTTAACCCGACTTTTGCACACCTCCTGTAAGTCGTTCAGCAACGTTAAGCCATTAATTACCTTTTTATGAATGTACATATAAATGTTTGATCAAAGTTTTTAAATCCTTAGGTTATTATTATTCTTAGATGAGTTACTGTTAATCCTATAAATAAAGCTAATTCTAACTCTTAATGAAATACACGAAACCGACTAAATGAAATTACTGTTTGTATGTTGTCCTTTGAAGTTGTGCTTTAAGAACACAACAAGACAACTTTGAATTTACACTGTCCATTAGAAACCAACCGTTGCTATTGGACAAATAGGTATCAAACGTTGATCGAGCGCTGTTACTTGTCAGTCTCCTTCTAGCACAGTCCAATTAACCTTACCTTTCGTGCCGACCATTAAAATGCATTAACCGCAGAATTAATGCCAGCGATCGAAACGCCGCGTCGCGGACAATGGTGGGAACGGTTAAAGTGATGGTTCGGTCCTCTATGTTGATCCATAGTCGGATTAGATTAGCGTCCTTGATCGGTTTGATTGGAACAATGAGGAATTAAAGAACGAGGAGAGCTCCAGATTTTTACCCGTTGCGAAAATTAATATTTATACAATGACTAGAACGTTGGGAAAACGTGATGCGAAGGATCGTTGTTTCAGACTTAGGAGTGCTAAAAGTCAAGGTTGACTAAATTGTGGAAGAGTTAAGTGATAGCTGTGTATATGTGGGTGAAGGTGTTGTCAAAGGTTAAGAAAATTTCATTTAATATTTTGCATTAATATTCAAGTCGCGGCGACCAGGAGCCGTGCAATTTAAATTGAAGAGGCGTGACCACAAAAAGGTAGTCGGGATCATAACTGGCACATCCTGAATAGATAATGGACGGGATAGATGGTGTCTGCTCACACAGGACCACCTGGAGGCCGTCTGGGTCTGAGTAAAGCATAGATCTCGCGGTAGCGAATAATTAAACGCTATTACGTTGGCTCTGGCCGCGTGTAACTGTGCAACGAGACGGTGGCACGAACGGCACGATTTTATTTATTTATTGCGCTCCACATACAACAGCTAGCATGTGAGGCACGTTTGTTTCTCGATTGAATAAAGCGTGTTAACCAGTCAAAGTCGGAATGTTCGGGTTGATTTACGTGCTCTCCTGTTTGCGGACCAATGATCTTAGCAAAAGTACTCGCCAGAATTGCTTTCTCGCGTAATGAATGAAATTTAGTTAAGTGAGTGTGCAGTTATAGAGGAAATGATACCATTAGTCGGACGGTGTAATAACGGCGGATTAGTACGATCATATACATTAAAAGCTCCGCGCCGTGTCTTTATATTCCCTCTATGTATGTATAGAAAATAGATGATACCTCACAAGAAACCGTTGGAGAATAAGTAGGGAGTGTGTACATCAATACAAGCTATTCTCTACTAAATAGATTACTACATTCATTTTTAACAAAAATACTAAAGTTGCAGCTGCCCAACTGGGTTCGTTGCAACTCCCGCGCTATAACTAACTGTATTTCCTGCATGATGAATATAAACCGTGATAACAATATTAGATTCTCTCAAGAAGTTTAGTGGCATAAGTCGTAATTTTTAATTGAAGAGATTATTTACAGAGTTTATTTAAAGCGATGGAAACGCGCCTTGGTTAAAAGAAAACGGCATTATTAATTATTTTTAATACGTGGCGCCCGAGACTGCGACCGACCAACGTAATAAAGTAGTCAAGATTGAATCTGTAGTCGACGCAGTGCCGCTTACTTGATCGAGACGCGGTTCAGCTGTCCGTAAACAAACGGTTATCGCGGTCTGGTATGCAGATGGCTGTGTTCGCGAGATTTTTGCTCTTCGACTCTTTGCGTTTAATAGTAATTAGTCAAGAGTAAAATGAATTTAGTCTCAGATATTTGATTAAAGTTTTAAGTGGTGCCCTTTAACTAACTGTTGTGAACTGCCAGTGTTTTGCTTTGAGATGCCAACAAGGAATTCTACACTTATCCTTGAAATATGTATATTATGTAAGTCGGTGTTAGAAAACAACCGCTTATATTATGTGTAATAAAAATAAGTTGATATGTTAAATTAAAAAATAGCGTACAAATTAAATGTAAACACACTGTTGGTGTTTAATAATAATCATTGTTATTCAAAACACGAAATTATACTGTGAATGTTAAAGACATGAATTGCATTCTTATGCTTAAATAAAACACGTCGTAAATTAATTTCTAGTTTACGACAATTTGTTTTATTACAACTTACAAATTTTAATTTGTTTCGAGGTAATTTAATTGTAAATGTCGATCGCTTACGACTGAGGCGCTATACAGCGCGTAGCGTCTCGGTCGTAAGCGACCTCGGCTTTTATTCTTATTGGTTAGAAAATATTTAAACCGTTAATTAAGATTGGTTTTGTTAAATAATATAATTGTCGATGTAATTGGTGACAGATGTATATGTAAGCTCATTAAGAGTTAAAGAAAGTCAAAAGCCATTTCGTAACCTTACACGATTTACATAATAACATTACAAGTTTGTCCACTAACTTTTCAACTGGAAAATCTTATTAATTTTCTCAACGATAATAAGTTAAAGAACCCATAAAATATATGAGCAACCAATTTAAGCCCGTTAATATGTTTACATTCACGTAAGTTTGTTATTGTTAAAACGTGGTAATGACTAATGATCACGAAGGAAATTTAAAATAATTTATAATCATCATTAATTTTTATATTTATTTTATAGGTATTACTTCTTAAATATTTACGCCGTTAGTAAGCATAATATTTTTGACTCATAATTTATTTGCTTTTCCTTAATAGGACAACTCTGTTGAACCGACAACGTTTCATCTAAAATTTAAATCAGATGTTTCAAAATTACCAACGTAAAAACTTAAATAGCCTCATTATTAACATCTGAAACTGAATTATGGTAACGTTAAGATGATCAAGATACGCGCCAACGTATTTTTAAAATGCACAATTAGGGTTAATTAGCATTCTTAGCTCGTATTGTGTGCGTGTGTGAGGCGACTAATTTACTACCATCATTGAAACGTCAAGAATTTTTACTTCAACTAAACTTTGTTTTTTTTTTAACTTTAATTTCATAATTAATTAAGTAAATTTTTTTTGACCTACTAACCTCGTTATACTAAACTTTTCGAAACAATCACATTTAATTATACGTCTACTAAAAAATAACCCGTAATCTAGGAACCGAATTAATCAATGACATTAGTAGCCACAGTAATTGATACTTGTTTCATGGTTGATAGTTGCGTCGTTGCTAAACTCCTTGGATATCGAGGTCTATGCTAGCGGTAGACTTTTGTCTGAAAGCGAGCGTGCAGGTGTAATTGTTGAATCGATTACCGTACAATGTTTTACGTTGTTCTGCCAACGTAGGTACATGTTCGTTAATGATACAGATTATCGATTATGGTACGTTGGATTGTTGAGACCAGCGTGTTCTTGCTAAACAAATTAAACTGGCTGAAACAAGATTAAAATCGTACACGATGAAAATTGTAACGGTCAACAAGTACCTAGGTACTGACTTTTACTGGGGTTAATGAACTAATTAAATGACGTTTGATTCAACACAATTCTTTGAAAGTCTAGAATAATTATAGATTTTTCTTCTAAGCTACGGAACTATCCAACCCGAACCAATAATACGAGATTCATTAGCCGTTTGCGACGATGTTCATTAGCTTGTTCGACCGTATTCAACCTCGCGGGTTTAAGTATGAATACCACACTCCATGAACTTTAAAGCCAGTTAATTGCCTTGGTGGACAAAAATATTCTTCGCTCACGTGGAGAACCGCATTTATCATATTCCCCGGGCAATAATCGAAGATGCCAAGAGTAGTATCGCGGAAGACGAGGCTTTGTCGCCCATCTGCACTAATGACTCGTCCCATTAAAACTGATTATGGTAATTACGAGACTTACTGTATCACACTCAGGTATTTCTTGCTGATTTCACGTTCGTATATCCTTGATGCTTCATTGATTTAAAATCCTAAATATGTTAATTAAAAAAAACATTCTTATTTACATCCACGTGGGGTGTATAATATAAGTGTGGGTGAAAACTACACAAATCGCAACAGAAAAGTCAAACGAAAGTGGATACGTAGGGGGACGTGAAGTCTCCTGTCGATAGTATTACATTCGCATTGCGGTGTTTGTTCTTCGACGTCGAACACCTGGGCGGCATTATTGCTGGCACGGTGACCGTACCTACACGGCCGGAGTGCCCCCTTATAAAAAGGTCTTGTAATGGGGTCACGTCGTCTGATCTCGAGAAACGCGGAAGGAACGGGCGCGTACAGTCATTGGGGGAAAAGGGGTTGCGCGTGGGAGGGTCGCCGGCCGTGCAGACAATGCGACGTGCCTTCGACGATGTGTTGGCGTCCAATGTATCGGCGAATATGCGAACATCGCCCAGTGGGCGATGTTCCAAATTCAAACTGACCGAGAGTTCTATAATCGTACAATTTAAACGTATACTAAATGTTTTATTCACAGATATGTGTATGCCACCTTTAAAATAAAGTTATTTACATCTTTACACTACCAATCTATCTTTAGGCCATCATAACGTAGTCTTATTACGACTAAGCAGCTTTCTGGCCTCGCTGAAATACCTAACCGCATTGAATATCCTCACTACACTCATTACGATCTTCTTCTTTGAGAAGAACATCCCCTAAAGCTTCTTTCTTGCATACTCAACTCTGCACTCCGCCTTTTCCTCACACGCTTCCTATTTCGCAGTAACCGAAAAGAAGATAGAAGAATAATCTGGGCATTGGGATATTCCTGTACCAGATCGCTCTCCTCGTCCATACAACAAATCTAAAGGACTGGTGGAAACAGCATGCTTGAAGTACGTCAGAAATTGATTCAAACTCTACTGTAAATAACACTATATGGAAATCCACAAAAGCCATAATTCTTCTCGATTATCATTTTGGTGACTACACCATCTTCGTCTAGGAATTTGTTCTAGATCTATTGTTTATCTAGCAGTTCTACCTTGTACTGTTTCCTTTGAATAGATTGATAACTTTGTTTCACCTACAAGCTATCTTACTGGCATACTGATAGCTGAAGCTGTAGAATAGCTTAAAATAAAAGAATTGGAATTCTTTTTTAAAATTTCAAACTGGTTGCAGAAATCCATTATTATAGGGATGATTGGCTTAATGAATCAAGCATAAAAACAGTGATATTATTAGAATCAATAACTAGTTGTATATGTAGACACTATGTATAATGAAAAAAAACTGATGATAAAAAATTTAATTAAATCGTGTTACCGACTAAGACAAATTATCATAAAACTCTTGTTTTGTTCGTATGAGAGAATAGTATAGGAGTGGCTTGGCGCTCTAAATTCGTGACATGCTCAAAGTACATACAAGGAATAAACGTTTTTAATAAATCTCTCTATAGTAGTACCTCCATCTAATGTACATGATTACGGGCGTTACGTGATCGGATCGCCGTCATCGTCGTAGATAATGCATTGTTATTAGCAAGCTCCCACCGTGATTCGCGATCGGTAAAATCAAGCCAGATATCGGAATAAAATCCTTGGGAAACGCAAACAATGGACGAGAACGGCCAATTTGCCTCCTCTCTATACGGGTTGTCTCCCGCGGCATGTAATTACGGCCCGGAGAACGTATATAGCCCGATCTGGACAGCAAAAACTGAGTGTACGACGTTTTTTTACGACCAAGTCCAGCATCTGGGTTAACGGGGTATTGTCTTCGAAATCGCGCGTGGTGGGCACCGATTAAAAAAAGTATGTGTTTTACCTGGAACCGCGAAGGCCGGGGAGTGTAAAAAGTTAATTAGTTCTGTACGTACTTGCGCGTTACACGGCGAATTATATCCGCCCTTTTGTTATTAACTTATTTTCGTTGTACTTTTTCGAACATCGTTTAAATCTCTTACACAAAAAGATTATAATTAGTACGAACAATAGTCTAGTAATTTATATAATTTTTTTTGCTCGAGGAGGTCAGGGTCATAATAACTTCTTTCCATGGCGTTAATTTTATATTTACTTAGAAAGTAATTACATGTTGGTAGGAATAAATATTTTATCAAAATAGTTACGCGACTCAATGTAGCTTTTAGCGATGAACACACAACAGTCTGTGTTTGTAATTGCATATTGTTGCAAAATGCATTCCGCCGTGGTATTAATTGCAATAACTGTGTAGCAATCTAGATGAACATGATTCTCCTTTACCAAGTAACAAGCAGCAATCATTAATCACATTGGCCAGAACATTTTATGTTGTAACTTTCACATTTGCCTTCGTCATGTATTTGGTAACCGATCCATGTATATCACGACAAATTTTCCTCCTCCTCTTGCGCATCAAGAACTAAATTGAAAAGTTGCTTCTTCAATTTTCTTTTTTTGCTGGTGCTTCGAATCTTTTTAAACTCATTTGTTAATAATCTATGATTGCAAAAAGTATTATTAGATTAATTGTTTTTATTTTAAATCATTACCTTATAAAACAATCTACGTCATCAGTTTCACTCTGTAAAATTTCTGAATGTGTTAATTTAGATGATGTGGCATCTTGTATTGCAGGTTTATTACAGGTTTCTTCAGATAATGTACTCGAAGCTTCTTCAGATTTACTTAAATTTGACAAAGTTTCACTTGCTTCAATTTGAGGTTTATCTTCATCATTAAACTCAAATGGACATTCTTCCTTGATGTCTGTTAATGTTGCTTCTAAATAATTTCCTTCTTTACCACGTTTATCTATGTTATCTAAAAATTGTAAACGCTCATAGCACCAAAGTGTCCTTCTATACTTTTTACTCAGCATTCTCATTTTCTTTTCTTTAATATATTGGGTTCTTATCCCATGTATTTTCTTTCTTATTTCGTTGGCGTCAGTTTTGTAATCTGGGAAAACAGATTTGAGTTGACGGCGTATTTCCATAATTGCCGCGAATCTTTTTGCCGTGTTTTTGTAATTAGGGTGATTTGGATTATAAAGAACTGGTTGTTCTCTATACACATTGATTAGTTTTAACGTCAACTCTCTAGGCCAGTTAAACGTACTCATAACGGAATAAATACTCGATGCAACGACTTGTTCACTACTGAACTACAAATGCGATGCAATTTATGTCGAGCACCAAGCAATTTCATTGTTGCGCATGCGTTTTATGTTGCGTAGTTATTTTTGTTGCAATTGCATATATGCGTTTGGCACTATTCGGATTGCATGGATATGAAGATAAAGATAATTTTGTTTTGCGTCTAATAAATAGTATGGTACTTTCTTGTAGAGACGCCTTTAATTTATTGTTCTATTGTTCGCACGTGTACGCGATTAATAAAGTGAAACGAAGACGTCGTGGCGGGCAAAAAGGTGGGATAAGCGAAGAGTTGCGTCGTTGGTGAATGAACGAACCTACACACATTTCTTCTGGCGGTCGACGCGAAAATGGAATGGAATTTGCGACCCGTTGAAGCGTATCTCTTTCGTTATTATACGCATTGACTAAGTGATTACATAAGCCGTCACTCTTCCTTTTTTTAAATTCCCCAGCTTTCGTTTCAATTAAAGTTCACAATTAACCGATAATAAGATATAAATTGAATAATTCCGTCGAGTTTGTAAACAATCCCAAAAAGAAAGTGGGTTATTTTTGTGCAACAGGCGGGCTCGGTTGTCGTCGAGAATAATTAAAACGGGCCGGAAGTGTAACAAACGCTTTCCAGGCGATTCGTTTTGTTTTGTCGAGTTTGCGACACGATCGCCTTTACAATGGGACCGTACGAATATTTACGTCACCAATGAACCGTGGTAATTTGTAGCTCATTTCCCTTTTCCCCGAGCGTGGTCGTGTGGAAAGTGAGAGAACGAGAACCGTTCTTTTTATCGACGTACTGTTCGTTTGTTTCTTGTGGTACAAAAAGCTACCGGTGCTAAAGGCACGGCATCGTTGTTTTATTTTTAAACGAAACTGTGCAACTTACCTTAAACAAAGGAATGTTTTGCGAAAGACTTGGAACTACAAAAACAGCGTCCCTAATTAATTGAAAACAAGGAATTGCACGCCAATTTGGCAAAATTATAAAACTACCCAAGTTAAATAATATCTAATCTTCTAATATAATCATTTTTTTTGTAGATTTCTCTTTTATAACAAAAAATTTTTTTTTTAATTTAGTACAGTTAGTATCTTTTAATTAAACCTAGCGGTTTAGTTTGGTTTTGTCGAACTGGAACAAGTTAATCAGGTGATTTTATTGTAACGTAATATCTATACGAAACTTGCTTTGCGATAATTGGCTTCCTTAATAGACTTCGTATATTATCTTTGGAAACCGTTTAATGAAAACATCATTTTTCCCTTTTAATTATCGCCGCCACTCGACGTTATTCTCCAATTCAATTTTTATCTTTCTAAATTGCTTTCACGGCTGTCGTAAAATGTTACTTGATTTCGCAGGTGGCGTGCATCGATTGAGTGTGAGCTTGGCTATACGCGGTTAAGATTGCATCTTGTCGCACTTATCTGATAGTTATTAATCGAAACTGGAAAATTGTTACGATTGAATGTGTTCATAAAAATACCATATCTATTATTGGTTCAGAAAAACTCTATTCAAGAATGTTGTTTATTGCTTTTAATTTATTTTCCTTTAATACTTTTTAAATCCTCTTCAGTTGGTCGCGAAGATGTACAGAATACAAAACAAATCGTTTCTGTCAATATTTTGTTAGGTTCGAACTCGACCGGTTTTGTACGTAACTCTTATCTCTAGCGGTACGATGTTTGTGTGTTCTAGTTGATAAATAGTTCTTTGAAGCAGGTAGTTTCGAATACGGCTAACGTCGGATCGAAATTTCAATAATATCGCGACTCGTGGCGACACCTCTTGGTCAGCAGGCAAACTAATGATATCGTTTTACTCGATACAGTAATTAATATTTAGTATTACAAGTTAATCGATTTTGAGTTAATTTTTTTTGTGAATACTGATTCTCAAGTAAAGAAGTCTTGATGTATGAGGTAGAGAACAGTCTACAATCAAAGGGTTTTGTATGCGCATTATTTCAGAAAACTGTGGTAAGATGTTGTGTAAGTTTTTAAACATCTTAGCTGTGGATTTATTACACGAATCTTAGTCTTATGATCTGAATGTAATGATATGTAGAAGAAGTCGTATGCGGGTTGTATGCATACAGAGGCGATGAAGTATTGTTTTTATGCTTGCGAGGTTTCTTGCGGCCGAGGCAGTACAATAAGCCGATTTGTACTTATACAAATAAGTGTTGTATACTATTACAACGAAATTTTGTCTTTAATGGGCGATAAAGATAGTAGCTGAGATCGTTTGCGTCCGAGGCAGAGCAATTGTGACGATTGATACTGATATGATGTTGATTCTTTAATGGGCAATAGAGATAATAGCCGATTTTGCTTGCTTATTGCTTATAATAATAATAATATTCCTTTATTACCCAACAGGCATAGCCCAAAAAAGGATAACAATATATAATAATACAATAATATGTATCTGTATGTGAGAAAAAAAAAAAAAAAACAAAAATTACAAAAAATTCAAGAAATTAACAATTGACCGAATTAAATAAGTATAAGTGAATTTGCATGCAGTTGATCACTGATTGTCTGGAATCCTGTTGCCCACTTTACAGAGAGTGTATGTTGGCGCCCGTCTCATAATGTTTGTCCTAGCATAAGGAATGACGAATACGCAGCTATATCTTGAGTTACTCCTTGGAACAACAAACTCTAGTCGCTCAAGAATGAAAGGGCAATCGATGTTATATTCGATAAGCCTTTGTAGAAACCTTTCATAAAACGCGTTTCTTCTGTCCATCAAGGAAATCATATTGTGTCGTGCAAGCAAATCATTTTGTGGTATACCTCGCTCAGGGTAAATTCCATCAGATTTGTAAGAAAGAAATTTTAAGAATCTACGATGGACTCGATCAAGGCTTAAGAACTCACATGCATATAGTAGAAACCACGAGAGCTGGCAGTGACAGATCGCTTAAAAATGGTATGAATCAAGATATGGACGTACGACTTAGATTATTTCACCACATACATTTAAATGTAGGTTATGTTAGTAATGCAGGTTATATGTCAAACATTGTCAAAGATATTATTTAGTGATTTTCCTTTCAAAGAAAACATTTTCGGCTTCTGAAAACACTAATAGATTCATGACAACGTTCAGAGACGTTTCGATTTGAGGTTATAATTATAGAGTTACATCCCTTAGAAGAACAGACGTACTTTTTCGACATGGCCATTTGAATTGTACAGCAGACATATTAAACTAATGCTATCTCTTTCTAACACACATTACTCTCTAGCGGTTTGTGAACTACGTATAGCATTTGTAAGAGCGGAAAACGATGATTTACTGCCAGCTCTCGTGGCGTCTACTATATAAGGGACTCCAAATCAGGCAAGCGTATTCTAACTTACTCAGAACGTAAGCACAATACAAGGTCTTTAATAAGTTGACACTTGTGAAATATTTAGACATACGCATCACAAAACCTAGGGACCTAAAGGCCTCCGAACACACATTATTGATATGTTTTTTAAAATTAAGACTTGCATCAAACATCCTCAACACGACTTAAAATGCTGCCAGCAATATTGTAAGGATATATGCATGGTGACGAGCATCGGCTATAAGTAAGTACACAACATTTATCTATATTAAGGTTAAGTTTGTAGGTCTTACACCATTGCACTATTGTGTTTAAGTTGTGCTGCAGCTTATCTGCATCTGCCATCGATGAGACTTCGGCATAGATCTTGATATCATCAGCATATCCCAACATCCGACAATCAATTTTTAGAAGTAAGTCATTTATGAAAAGAATAAATAATAGAGGGCCCAAATTTGATCCCTGTGGAACCCCTGAGGTAAGAGTGAACTTATTAGAAAAGTATCCATTGTAAGCAACATAACATTTTCTATGTTGCAAATAAGAGGCCAGAAGAATTGAATTGCTGAAGGAACAAATCCGAAAGAGCTCAATTTATACAAGAGAATTCTATGGTCAATCAGATCAAAGGCTTTGGATAGATCAGTGTATACAACATCCACCTGCCCACGTCTATCCAAGGTGCTACAGATAAACTCGGAAATCGTAGCCAAGTTGGTAACTGTAGAGCGACCGGAAACAAAACCATGCTGGGAAGCTGACACAAAGGGGCACGTGCTGGTGTACATAAAAGAATATAATAACTTTTCAAATAGTTTAGCAAAATTGGAAATTATCGAAATTGGTCTATAGTTTGAGAGGGACGTACGACGTGCTTATTTAGATTCTTCAAAAGATTGTTGTTTCGGGCGAAAGGAATGCGAGAAACTATAAAATAAATGGATCACAGTATTGTTTCTTTCATACTGGTGGTGGAAGTTTTCGCACACCTTGTTAAATTCACTTTACGAAACACTTTACTGTTGACCATCTTAGGGAATATGTTTATAATTAGTAATTGCGGAATGCATAATACAAAATTGATAATGTTAAAGACATTAATACACGACAGCGAGAAATAGTCGGTATGAACATATTTGGTCCGCACCTTCCGTCAGTTTTACGTCCGCTTAATCATGACTTGGTATCACGGAAACCTTCCGCGGTTTGACAACCACTGTCAAAAGGCCTCTCGATACGATCCTATCTTATTCGGAGACACGGCATTTCCTACACGTTATTATCTAACGAACATACTACGGGCGAAAATCCAAATGCGAAACGCGACATACACAATCTTAAACGGCCGAACGCGTCCGTTTTTTTATTTTTTGGACGTGTGACGTGGCGTTCGGCGTCTGAACGTCGAGTCGTTGTGCCGCCGGTAGAAAGGTGAAAGTCGCCCATTTTTGCAATACGTGGGATGACAAACGTGCATCTTTTAAAAAGGCGCCATCTGTCTCCTCGGGCTGGGTTTGGCGTAAATTTATATCAACTGCTCCGGTGGCTGTTAATAATAAATATTTCGAAAAATAAACGCTTTTCATGTCTTGCAGCCGTCCCCAGTTGTTTTTATGTAGTTACTTTATGTATACATACTTTATGTGCTTAAAGTATTTTAACTAAAACAAATCTGCGAAGAATCTTAAATATTCAGCTTGTAACATACATAATTCCAGCAAATAAATCTCACTGAGTGTTGACAATAATCGTATTTCGAACAATGAGAAAAGTACAACCAGACAAAAATCTGCATGCGTTGGAGAACCCAACAAGCGCCGGACATTGGTCGACACTTCTTTTGTGCGCCGAAGAAAGCTTTCTCATGCATATTAAACGGTAACTTCGAATTCCCGGAACAAAAAGGTCATATTTTTTGCGAAGTCCGTCCAGTAAACGGCGGCCTATACCTCTTTACCAAATCGGCGAAGAACCCGCTTCACAACTTTGCGGATAGCACAAGAATCGGGGATGAGTCAGCTGTTTACATACGCCCGAAATTTACTTTCACCAGATTTATAGCGTACCATTGTAGTAAGTTCATTAACTGATTATGTTACAACATGTTTTCAGTGCAACGACCTGTTTTTGATGATTTCATGATGCCATTACGTTGGATGATTCAGTCTTTTGAATGGAGAACTCATTTTCTACTTTGTTAATAGGTTCTTTTTGTTTCAAGTAATTACTATTGTCTGTTGGAACAAGAATC